AAGTATTTCCAGCCCTATACTCGATCTAACAAGTCATTCATACGAGGCAACAACTCTGCATTCTTGATTGTGATGGTTTACAGTCCCCTGTAGTCTATACACATGCGTAGTTCTCCCTCCTTCTTTAGGACAAACTGAAACGGTATTCACCAGTTAGCAGTAGCTGCTGCAGATCCCAGGGTTCGATCCCTAGACCCCAACCTTACCTGTGTACAGTACCTGTGTCGACCCGTGGAATTGAACCCGTGACCTGTGTATTTGTAATAGTTGATAGGTTGTCGTAGGGTCCATAGGTAGCATGGGTTTGATCTGTAGACATGTCGGATAGGAGTCTTAGTCAGGTCTAGGCACCGTAGCTGTAGTGTTCTCGAAAGGTCAAGGTTGTAGCTGCTACAGTCCAGAAGGGTCAGAGTCGTAGCTGCTACAGTCACGAAAGGCCAAGTCCACGGCCTTCCGGAAGGTCCCAGTAGTGGCCTTTCGTGAGTTGCCCACGTTTAAGCAGAGGCAAGTGGTCAAGTGGTGAGGCAAGTGGGCAAGTGGGGGAAGTCTACCCTGTTGAGTCAACAGTCCCAGTCCCCAACTAGTTTTAGTAGATGTAGAAGTTTTCAGAGGTAGAGTAGGTGCCCTTATAAACAATGGGGCAACTCGCAACTACATTAGTACAATGGGGCAACTCGCAGCTACATTAGTAAGAAAACGCTGCAAAAGTTAAAGCTGAATCTAAAAGTTCGGAAATTAGGAGACCCCATAGTCAGCATCCTCGCAGACAATCGCATTATGCGAGTCGAGGAATATGTAGAGGGATTCCAGGCGTACTTTCACCTAGAGAAGGATGGGAAGGTAGAGAGAGTTCTCCATTCCTTGACTCTCCTCGTAGAAGATAACCTCCCGTTTGATATAGTCCTAGGAATGGACTGGGGAGAGGCAGCAAGGGCCACACTCCATTTGCGAGAGCACTAGTGTAGGCTCCTTAGTCCATCAGGCGAAGTCAAGATTGCTCGCCTGTTTCATGTGTCAGGAGTAGACAACACCCTAGCACATTGTTGTCTTAGTGCTCCCTCATTCGCACAAATAGTGAAGAAGGAACAATTAGAGGAACACATTTTTGTAGTCTATGTTAGGCCCATTACTGAGCCTACAGAAGAGAAACCCATTGATCAGACTATTGTCAAGCTACTGGAGGAGTTTACAGACTTAACTAAGCCGCCTACAGGAGTAGTGCAGCGGCCCATCCAACATCGCATTGAGATAGAGCGTGGCAGTAGAACTCCTAAAGGGAGTTAGAGGAGTTGCGCAAACAATTAGACAAGTTCCTCAAAAAGGGTTGGATTCGGCCCAGTTCGTCTCCTTTTGGAGCGTCTATTCTATTTTTCCCTAAGAAGGAGGGAGAGTTAAGAATGTGTATTGATTGTAGGGGTCTTAAAGCCATCACAGTGAAGAATGCAGAACCACTGCCCCGTATAGATGATCTGTTAGATCGGGTGTAGGGTTGCAAAAACTTCTCTAAGATAGATTTGAAGTCAAGCTATCATTAGATAGAGGTCCATCCCGATGATCAGCATAAGACGACGTTCAGGATCAGATATGGGCACTATGAGTTTATAGTAATGCCCTTTGGACTAACCAACGTGCCAGCTACATTTCAACGTTGTATGAATGATTTGTTTAGACCATGGTTAGATCGGTTTGTAGTGGTGTACTTAGATGACATCCTAGTCTTTAGGAAGACCCTCCAGGAGCATGAGGGCCATCTGAGGCAGATCTTGGAGAAGCTGAGATAAGCTAACTTCAAGATTAACGCGAAGAAGTGTGAGTGGGCCAAGACGCAAGTTTTGTACTTGGGCCACATCTTAGACGGAGATGGTATCAAACTTGAGGACAGTAAGATAGCAGCGATTAGAGATTGGCCGACGCCCCACACGTTGACATAGTTGCGGTCGTTTCTACGCTTAGCCAACTACTATAGGAAGTTCGTGAGGAACTTTTCCACCATCGCTGCACCCCTTCGCAGGTTGCTAAAGAAAGAAGCAATCTGGAAGTGGGACAAAGATTGTACGTCAGCCCTGAAGAAGTTGAAGCGGGCTTTGATAGAGTATCCAGTCCTCAAGGTAGTCGATCCGTCCCTGCCTTTCGTTGTTACTACTGACGCGAGTTAGTATGACATAGGTGTTGTCTTACAGCAAGACGATGGCAATGGCTATTACTAGGCGGGCCGCCGAGATAGATCAGTTTGACTTTGAGTTCATGCCAATGAAAGGAAAGTATAATGTAGTTGCGGATGCTCTAAGCCGGAGGGCTGATTACTTTGGAGCGATAGTTCACTATCTCGATATAGGGAGAGACCTGCAACAGAAAGTCAAAGAGGCATATGCGTAGGACACTATTTATAGTGATCTTCTCAAGAGAGTTAAGGAGTCTCCAGAGTCTGAGTCAGATTACCGCACTACAGATGGATCACTATTTGAAAAGACTAACGTAGCTGACCGTTTGTACGTTCCCGATAGTGAAGAGATCCGTAGTTTGATTTTAGGGGAATGTCACGACATAGAGGGACATTTTGGTTGGCAAAAGACATTAGCCAACGTCATGCGTGCGTATACGTGGCCAGGTATGAAGACCGACTGTATAGAGTATGCACACAGTTGCAAAGTCTGCCAACGGAATAAGACCACTACACGGACCCCTCTTGGTCTTCTCAGACCTTTGCCTATTCCCACAGGACCCGAAGATTTTGTGTCCATTGACTAAATGGATATCGGGGTCAAGAGTAGGCATGGCAAGAGCCAAGTTGATAGATTTAGTAAATATGCAGGGTTTGTTCCTTTACCCGCAGAGACACGAACAAAATTTAGTTATAGACAAGTTCTTTGATCATTGGGTCAGTGAACATGGTCTCCCGCTGTCAATAGTTAGTGACAGAGATACCAGGTTCATCAGTCGGAACTGGCAGGAGTTGATGAGAGTCTATGGCTCTAGGTTGCTGATGTCACTGGCCGTCATCCTGAGACTAACGGTCAGATTGAACAGATGAACGAAATCCTGCAGCAAGTTCTCAGAATGTGTATTAGACCTGATCAGCTTAACTGGGATGAGATGCTTCCCAAGGTAGCCAGCACATACAATAACAGTGTGCACTTAGCGACTTGTCGCACTCCCAACGAGTTACATAAGTCCTTTAGACCGCGTAGACCGTTTGAGGGACTGAACTGGGATCAGATTCAAAGGTTACCTGCCGGTACTAGGGAGTTTGCACTACACTACGAGAAGGTGATTGCTACCATCACAAAGAACCTTAGGAAGGCCCAGCATAGAATGATGATAGAGCAAGCCAATAAGCACCGTCGCATCACAGTTTCAAGTAGGCGACTTAGTCTGGGTCAAGTCCAAAGAGTTTGCTCCTGAGGAGAACATCTCACAAAAGTTACTGCCAGCATACCGAGGACCGTGGTCAGTCTTAGAAGTCAAGGGCGGAGAGGATGGGCCATCCTACACGGTCGAGATTCCAACGCGCCTCCACACCTACCCGGTGTTTCATGCGTCAAAGTTGCTGCCTTGTACCACAAGTCAACAGTTTTCGTCAAGGAGGTCCATGATCCCTCCGGACATGGATGGAAGGTACGACATTGACGGTATCGCAGGTGAAGATGTCTTCAGAACAGGAGGTAGGGGTCGTCCACAGAAACAGTATAAGGTCAGGTTCGCTTTTCAGGAACCAGAGACCGATCGCTGGTTTACACGAACAGAACTGCTTGAGACTGCTCCCGAGGTAGTTCACGCCTATGAGAGAGATAAGAAAGATAAAGGTCCAGCCTTGCACAGGAATATTCTTGGAGGACCTCGAATTTAGGCCGGCGGGAGTGAAACGGTTTTCACCTTTTGCAGTCACAGATGCGGATCCCAGGGCCCGATCCCCAGACCTTACCTTACCTTACCTTCCTCCCTGTGTACGGTATCAAGTCGATAGGTCTGAGTAGTTGTCGGGTCTTGAACCTTAGACCTGTCGAAGTAGGGGTCATACCTGCATAGGGGTCATAGTTGTTGTAGTTCTGAAGGGTCAAGGTCGTAGCTGCTACAGTCCTGAAAGGTCGAGGTCGTAGCTGCTACAGTCCTGAAAGGTCAAGTCCACAAACTTCTGGAAGGCCCGGAAGTGGCCTTTCAAGTTTCTTCTCGCGTTATACACAGCAGATCAGAGGCAAGTGGGCAAGTGGTGAGCCCAACTTTGCTTAGTCAGCGGTACCCAGTCCCAGTCTCACTTTGTACAGTCAGCAAGTACCATGAGGGACTTGTGCACCATGGGCCCAGTGGAAAAGGGCAGACCAACGACTTACAGAAGTATAAATCAAGAGGCAGCGTCCAGCCATTCATTCATTCCTGCGTGAGCCATGCGGAAGCGCTGCCTGAGCGTCTTGTGCGAGGTGGTCTGCAGTTGCCCGAAGTCCAAGTGGGCTGAGAGGGAGATAGCGCAGCCATAGCTGCTTGAAGTTAGGGATAGCCGGAGGCCATAGCTGCCATAGGTAGTGTTAGGAAGTAGTGAGGCTGTGTGTCTGATACAGAGTGTGTTTGTGCGTGGGATATTCAGGGTGATGCAAAGTTGAGTGTATGTGAATAGTGGTGGTGGACACAGTGTCGGCAGTGAAATGATTTGGCGATCAGGCACCATAGCCTGTTTGAAGCGAGTTGTATCTGAACTGTGTTCTCCGTCTCCATATCTTTGAGCTTTGTGTGGGCGCCTGGCGCCAGTTTGGTTTGCCATCTGTTTGCATGTATGCAAGTTGAAGAAGAAAGCGAGTCTGATTGCAATTCAGGCAATTCAGAAATATCTGGTTTTGTTCATCTAGAACCGTCATCTGGACTCGAACTCTGGTCTGTATTTCAACAGTTCATGGGTGTACCCGCTGAGCTAGGCTCTTGGGTCCTAAATTAAATTAATAATTTCTAATATGCCATATGTGTGTTTTTTGGCGCTTTTGTGGGCCTGTTGCCCCTGGTGCTGGCTGCAGGCGGATTTTGAGGATTCTTTGTCCCCTACCTGGACGAATCTGGTGCAGGGCCAGATCAATCTACGTGATGCTGTGAACCGTACGATTGAATATGAAGATAAAGCTCGAAACAAGAGGTACGCTCTTGACCCAATCGTGAAGATGGCCACTCTGTTTGTTCGCCCGCGCGGGTGGCACCTGCCTGAGGCGCACATTGAGGTTGACGGTCGGCCGATCCCGGGTTGCTTGATGGATTTTGGCCTTTACTTCTTCCACAACCATGCGTCCTTCAGAGCTCAGCACTCGGGATCAGGCCCATTCTTCTATCTCCCAAAGATGCAGCACGCCAGGGAGGCTGCCATTTGGAATGCAGTTTTCAATCACGCACAAGATGCACTGGGTGTGCCACGTGGCAGCATTAAAGCCACCGTCCTCATCGAGACGCTGCCTGCTGTGTTCCAGGTATGTGGTGGGACTGATAAGTAGTGCACGTGGGTAAGTTCGTGGGTTTTCTTCTTTTTTTTTTGTCTTTTTTTTTTCGGTTGGGTGGATCAGTCCCGTACAGTCCTTGCAGGAAGACAGGGCAATGGCAGATATTGTTGTTTGCACAGGATGTGACAGGAAGGGGAAAAGGGGTGCGAGTGGGACTGTAGGAAAAAAACAGAACCAAAAGGGTGTGAGTGTGGGGGAGGAGGGAGATGCCTGTGAGTGACATGCTACGAATGCTGTTGTCGTCTCAGGAATGTAATGCCGGCACAGAGTTATTCCACGAATAAGTAGGAAGTGTGAGGAACGAGCCCTCAAGGGGACCTATCAGATGTCATATGATATGGGCTAAGGCCCCCAGCAAGCCAAGTGGCCGCCCTTAGTGAAGGCGGGCCTGAATGTTCCTCAGAGGCAAAATTCGACATTTCCATATGTGGGTATTCAGGCTCTCGCAGCACGCCAGTTGGTTGAGTAGACGTGTGAGGCTGTGAGCCTCACAAAGCTGTGTCATACAGTTGGCCCAGGCCTTGACAGTTGTGCCTGGGCGCATACACACAAAGCAGGGATGATACATTGGGAAGCAGGCCATCGGCCTTTCCAAAAGCAGTACCGCCAACGTACCTGCCTGGGAGCCCTGCACAGATGCAGCAAACAGCCCAAGTCCGGAGACTCAGGCCGTGCCCAACTGAAAAGGGCCCAGGCCCTCAACTGTAGTCTCGGGCCTGGGCGCCGGGTCTGAGGCCCAACCGGAAGCTACTGGAAGCTTCCAGCCAGGTCACACGCAGCATCCAGGAGGCTGCCACTTCCATAAAAGAATGAGGCAGACCAGGCCAGGCATTCTGGCCAGCGCCGGCAATGCGGAAGTGCTGCTGCGCTCTCGCTTGATGCTGCGCTGCTGCCAAGGGCGCTGACGGGGCGCGTAGTGGTGATGTGGGGTGCGGCAGGGCAGCGGGGTGCAGGCGGCCATAGCCGGGCTGCTGGGCGCGAGGGGGTAATAAGGACGATCGAGTGGTCTTCAGGGAAGGAGGAGAGTGTGGGGTAATCAAGGTCTGATTGAGGATGATGAGATATGTACCAGGTGCATGAAGAGAGGTTGGTTATGGAGTTGACAGTCATGTACATTGGTCTTCGAGAGTCGAAGTAAGCCTGTTGCGTGAACCAGCTGTAGGTAGGATAGTCGGGTAGAGTAGGTTGGGCGCTGTGCGCCGGACAAACGGGAGCGACTTTGGATACTGTGTTGGTGTGGCTTACGGGCTTGAACATTGGCTCATTATTTCATTGTATTGCTCTATGTGCGAGGATCTGGGTTCTCGGCAGGCCTAAGGGGCCCTGGTTGCAGTGGTGCCCGCCCTAAGTGAAGGCGGGCCTAACTTATCACAAGAGGCCTTTCACTGTTAATTTCATATTTGGAGTCCAGGCAGTTGCGACACGCCAGTTAGTTGAGTGAAACACAGGCCAAGCAATCAAGACATTTCCACGGCTTTCTGGGCCTCTCCGAAGCATGCAGGCCCTGGACGAGAAACGCAGCCTCATACACTTACAGTTGGGAGGCCCAGTCGAAAGATGCCCAGTAGCTGCAAAGTAGCACGCAGCATCCTGGGGCCTACCAGAAGCTTCTGGGCCCAGGCCAAGTCCAGCCAGGCTGCGAAGTAGGCAGGCTCTTTCCATATAGGAAAGAGCTCGCCACTCTCAGCGTCATTCAGGCACTCGCATGCTAGCGGCAGCGCTGCTGGAGCAAAGGCTCGTGGGCTGCTGCTGGKGCTGAGAGGCGAGGTGCAGCACGTGCGGTCGTGCAGGGAAGAAGGGCGCTGCTGACGGCAGCGCCATAGCCCAGCCACCATAGCTGGTGGGCTTGGACTACAGTGAGGCGCATGAGTGGTCTTCGGGTGTAAGGGAGGAAGACGTGGGTGTCAAGTCAGGGAAGGGTGAAGGATGATGATGATGATGATGTGAGGGCACATACCTTGTATTGGCGATGGTCTGCATCGAGCGACATCTTCAAGTACTTCGGGTTGCCGCTGATGTCAACAGTTGCATTGTCAATTAGTAGGCTGATAATAGTTGTGTAGGAGTAGGCTGGGCGCTGAGCGCCAAGTAGGAGAGTGAAGGGACTGGACCCTTGTGTTGGTGTGGAGAGAGAAAGCTCTCCGTGACATTGGGTTTCAGTACTACGAACCTCCATTGGTGTATTATTGGCTCAATGCTGCTCTTTGGACACGGTGTGACTATCTGGCTTTCAATGTGATTGTGTAATCTGGATTTGTCATCTCGCTGTTGCTCATTTTCCTTGCAATCGGAGCCGGTTCATATTGCGCTTCATTGGTTCTTCGCACATAGCTGTTCGGTGCTTCGCATGAGGTGTGGGGCAGTGATAAGGCTTTGGGCGTTGAACATAAGGCAGCCCAGGGTCGTGTGGGCGCGCCAGGAAGCTATGTGGTGACATACGGGGTGTATGCTGGATGATGAGAGCTCGCTGATGTGGCATATTAAGCCGAGGTGGAACTGCATTCTGCTGTTGGTTGTGCCGAGGCAAAGACCGGTCATCATAAATGCACATCAGGTTGCCGGTGAGAAATTTGTGGTTGGAGGGCAGAATTATGAGGTACGTTGCTCTCTTCGTTATCTACTCTCTTCATTACTTCTTACCGTGAGGAAGTGAGTCTTGTCTTGAGAGTCCTCTCGATGTGAGGTGTCGCGAGCGCTCAACCTTGAGAGTCGACATTCTTCCTAGGCAGCAAGCTGGTGGGAGACCGGCGAAGCCTTTGAAGGGCCCTGGACGAAGCACTCGGGTCACGGTCACCATGCCAACCCGCTGGGACTAGTACACGCATGCTTTGCTGCAAGTCCTTGGTTTTGCTGCTTGCGCAATAGAGGTCATGCAGGGCATGCCAGCCCTTTGAACAGACGCTTACCAGACCGTCTCTAAATATTTCTGGCAGGGACTCGGTGTTGACTCTGGCTGTGATCGTCGTCCTGTCTGCAACGTTAAATAATTTTTGAGGAGTTACGGGGGATCTCCTCCTGATCAGCCAGACCAAACCGGGTGTAAGGCTCGTTGCATGCGAGGATAAATAATGTGCAGGGGCTGGCAGGTTCGGCGTTGACTTGGGGCACAGGGGTGGGCCGGATTGCACACCTTCAGCCACGCTGCTCAACCAGATGCTCAGGCCGTTGACACAAAGTGACAACTCAAGAAGGATACAGGGGGAGGGGGATTTCGGTAACTGTTCACAGTGGCAATCATTAGACAATCCGCCATCCAGTATACATCTCCAACAGGAGATATTATTTCTATTTTTGATTATTTAGTTGTTACAGACTTGACTAACAGCTGACAGACAGCTGCAGACAGATTAGTTCTTTGATGCATTGCAATTTTCCAAGAGTAATCTAAAAATAGATGTGATATTTCCTGTAGGATCTGACATTAGTTGTTACTAGATCACCTAACTGTTTTTGTTTAGGCCGACCGAAATTAGTTGTGATTTGTAATCGGTTGTGTGTCAGGCTAAGGTAAATTCAGTGTGGATTCTAGTTTAGATCACACACACTGTAACTCATGAGTGATGCAAGCACTAGTGAGGAGGAGTTGTTAGTGGACGACCGTAGGACTACTCATGGAACTGCTCGCAATCGACCTTTGACTTTCCTAGAGTTAGGTCCAGGAGACGAGAGGAGATTGCGGAGAGAGGCTAGAGAGAGAGCAGCGGCAAGGAGAGCGAGGGTAGCTGAGGATAGTGCTAGGTCTAGGATTTCAGCTAGCATCGGTACGAACATGGCTGCTTCATCTACCATGTCGCAGGCCTCTTCATAGGCCACTTCGTCAGGAGCTAGTCAGAGTGGTTCTCAGGGGTCCATTAGCCAGAGTGTTGGCTTGCGAGTCAGCCAGCAGACTCAACTCACGCCGGAGGATTATGAAATCCTCCAAGCAGAAGAACTTCAGGATGAGCTACAGCGGCAATTGGATGAGGCAGCAGAGAGGAGAAGGAGAGCAATCATGAGAAAAACTAGACTAGGTAGTAGGAGAGAGGAGCTAGGCAGATTAGAAGCGTTAGTTGAGTCAGTGCTTGACCCTGCGATACGAGCGTTGCGTAACTCGCTTCTTTGTGTGGCAGAAGCGCAGGCTATCCAGTAGGAAGTGCTGGTTGAACTAATGGCAAGCCAGAAGCAGATTCTGGCTGCACTGTAGGTTCCTCGTCCCATGATGAGGCAGCCTCAGAATGCTGTAGCTCCAGGTCCATCAGTGACGATGCCGCCGATAGGGCCTCCATTCTCACCTATGTTTGGCATGCCCCCTCCACGTGGTTTTGTAACTAGTGGTCCGGTTCATAGGGTCTCAGCCGTACCATCGACGACAGTGGTTACTACAGTCCCACTATCAAGTCAGACCCAGGTTAGTGTGCAGCAACCTATTTCAGTGGCTATGCAGCCACTACAACAAGCACCTGGGCAATGCAACATATGCAGTGGATGCCCAAAATACCCTTGCTGAGTCCTAAGCCCTTTTGCGGCGATAGGAAGAAGGACGAGGATTTGGATACCTGGGTAAGGACGGTGCCTACCTATGTAAGACACAAGCTTACTAGGCCAGAGCAAGAAGTTGTTGTGGCTGCCTCCTTTTTAAAGGGGTCAGCAACCCGTTGGTTGAATGGCCTAGTGCAGCAGCAGGGCTACGGTCAGAACTTCGATGCCCGGGCCCAGGCCCAGACATTGGAAGAGTTCGTACAGTCCGTGTACAACAGGTGGCATGACCCTCAAGGGGCTCAAAAGGCTACCGATGCAATCAACAGTCCCTGTGCCAGAAAGTACAAGAATGTTCGAGAGCTAACGGACATCGTAGAACATTTTCTCGTGGTACCTGGTGTGCGCTATGACCAGCAGGTACTCCTCACAGATTACCTTAGATGTCTACCTTCAGAGGTCAGGACAAAGCTGGTAAACGAGGCCTATGTCGAGCAGCACAACTTCGCCTCTTT